TTAAACATCTAAATGTCTTAATATATAAAAATGTCTACATGCCCCAACCTTCTAACACATTCTTAGCCAAGTATGGTCCTTGGGTTGAAAAAGGTTGAATATCTCAAATGAACTCAGATGTATGAGGACAGCCTAATAAGAACAATGTTAAATCAAACTCCTATTTAATCCAACATGTTATTAACATAATGGCCACAGAGATATGTCAAAGGATTGTCATGCTATGCAGTAAGTGGAATGGAGAAACATACTGCTCTGATCTTGGAGTCAGAAAGAATGGCTATCCATCATGGCTAGCAATTATCCTTCGGCTGAGTTCACACATTGCACTAAGCCATTGCTTAAGAACTGCTGCATTCAGCTACGTATCACCGGCATCACACCAAGTCATAAATCATTGATTGATAACCCCAATCCTATCCCATTTGGTAGGAATAAAGCATGAGACAACCAAAATAAGTAAATGTAATCAACTGGTGCGTGAAGCTCACTTTTTGACAACTAAAAAAGGAACAAGAGCCAACTATTGTTAACAATGCTGTCTGATCCCACAGCTCACTCTAAAGCAGCGTTTCTCAACCTCAGCAACTTTAAGATGCGTGGACTTCAACTCCCAGAATTCCCCAGCCAGTCAGATTCCGGGAGCTAAATTTCAGACATCTTCAGGTTGCTGAGGTTGCGAAACGCCGCTCTAGGGGAAAGAGAAAGCCAGGTTCACCAAGCACGCTAAGCCTCGAACAAGCAAACCGCGTTTCCTGCGTAACATTTTAGTCTATAACGTGACCTGCTTGTAACTGAGTGGGCAGCATGAACCTGTGGCTTTTAATCCATGGTTTATTATTGGGCAGGGGGTTTCGAGTCAGTCTTGATTCCTGGCGACTGCCTGGACAAGTCCCTGCGGTGTTCTGGGCAAGGCTTCGGGAGCGGTTTGCCGTTGCCCCTTCCTTAAGTAGTGCGAATACAAGCGAAGGAGGGGACAGAGGGATCGGGTGAGCCGCCCCACAGCGAAAGGCAACGAGGCAAGGCAAGCGACCGTTGCAAGGAACGACCGCCAGTCCTAACTGCTCGCTCACCCACCTTCCTTACTGCCTTGCTCTGATTAAGCGGCGAGCAGGAGAAAGCAAAGGCGTTGCCCTATCGCCTCGCTAGCCCCCTTCCTCCGCGCGGGTTAACGGGTTGGACAGGTTCGCCCGCCACACCCAAGCAAGCGGGCTGGCGAGAGACGGGCGGCTGCTTACTCCCACCGAGAGTCTGCACTTTCCCCCAGTTGCGGAAAACGGCCTTCCGTCTCTACTCCACTGGCTGCCGAACTAGGGAATGGGGATACCCGACCCCCATAAGGAGCGGCTCGACTTGCAAACTCGCACCCACCGCCTCGCCCACTGGCATCGACGATGGTACAGTGCGCATGCGCACGGGCACGTCTCCCTGGGTTGCCGCGGGATCTCCGAGATGACGCTTTCAGGAACGAAGGGAAGGACGCTCAGGGAGGATTTAACTCCGCCCCCTTAGCTCGCGAGCCCCCCCTCTTCCTCTCTGGTATGCCCACCCTTTCCTTTCCCCCGCTCCTGGACTGCAGTGGGACTTCCGGGTCAGGTGAGTGTCTACCTTACGGCGGTTCCCGAGCGTGGCAGTGACGCCCTGAGGGAGTGTTCCTGAGGTGGCACCTGCATTTAATTTTTGTTTTTGTTTTTAAATAAGTCCTATATGGAGTTATTTCTATGCAAGCAGTTAAGAAACGGCCGTCGTGGGTTGCTTAGCCCTGGCCGTGTTCGCATAACAGTTCAACTGACCTTCATTACTGCGTTTGCCCATTGCGCCATAAACCAGTATTTCTCAACCTTGTCAACTTTAAGATGTGTGGATTTCAGCTCCCAGAACTCCCCAGCCAGTGCTTACTCCCACCTAGTGCTCGCTGGGGAATTCTGGGAGCTGAAGTCCACACATCTTAAAGTGGACAAGGTTGAGAAATACTGCCATAAACAGTCAAAGACTGAGCACAGCTCAGTCTTTGACTTGACAATGGTGGTTTTAGCCTTTCCCAGGCAAGCTAAGAATTGAACCCGGGATCTTCTGCAGGGAATAATGGATTTTGCCAGCGAGATATTCATGATCAAGGTGGAGGGTGCAAAAGCTGTGATCGCACCCAAGACTATAGTTTTGGGTTGGAGGAATTGAATCCCAGGTTCGTCAAAAACAACTAGCTTGTGTATACTAAATCCACATTTTCTGCTGCACAAACTATGCTGCCTGTCCCTTTTTTATATGGCAATGCCTTTCAAAAACCTGAAACCTTTCCAACCCCCATAGGGCACTTAGGAAATTTTGCATGGAGGTGTGCCTGAATACCTTTATCCAAAGGGATCTTTTTGTCACTGCTTCACTTGTAAATGTAGATTTGGAAGCCCCTGCCCAGTACTGATGAGATGATAAAATACACTGATTGCTGTTCACTTGTAGTTTAAATTTAGGAATAAAATAACTCTAGATCATGTTTTTTTCAAACTGCATCCAGCAGAACTCAAGGGTTCTGCAAGTTCTATGACAGAATAAGGCCAAAATGTTTTTTTTTTTTTTAAGTTCACTCTAATTCAGCCAATTTTCTATCATTAGAATGTTGCTTCAGGGGTCTGTGAATTTTTTTAATTAATAGGTTCTATGGTCTGCTCTAAACTATTACTGTAGATGAGTGCTTGAAAAGAAAACACCTCAACCTGGTGTCCTCCTGAAGTGTTAAACAGAAATTCCCATAATACTATTCCTTTAAGCATATCTTAAAGGAATTACAGGAGTTGTAATTCAACATATCAGAGGGATATCTGGTTAAGACTGCTGTAACCTCACAGGTGATATGTGCACAAAATTTATTGTGTATGTTTCTTACAAGGCTGTATTATGGTTATACAGCCACCATCAAAATAATTATAGTTTCAAGTTCATGGGAAGCAGTTATGTGGCATCATAATTTGCTGATTTACTGTCATTTCAATGTACTTTAAAAAATTTTTGATTATGTGTCATCAAGTAATTTTCAATTCCTAGTGACCACATAGATAGATTTTCTCCTTGACAATTTATCCCTAACCTGGTTTTTCAGGTCTTCCAACACTGCACTCTGTAACTGAGTGCCACTGTAACTGAGTCCATTCACCTTGTTGCCCTCTTCTCTTTCCTTCCATCTTTTCCAGAAAGCTAAGTCTTTGGATAATGCATCTGAAGTAATTTGAGCCTAGTCATTTGTGCCTCAAGTGAAAACTCTGGGTTGATTTGCTCAGTGATCCACCAGTTTGTTTGTTTGTTTGTCTGTCCATAGTATTCTCAGGAGTCTTCAACAGTAAAGTTCAAAAGCGTCTTCCTATCCTGCTTCTGTAAAGTCCAACTTTTGCTTCCATAGTATTACAGGGAATACCATGGCTTCTGATCTTTGTAGTTATAGACACATCACAGCATTTGAATATCTTTTCCAAGGACTTCATGGCTGCTCTGCCAAGTGCTAGCCTACAGTGTATTTCTTGGCTGCTTGTTCCTTTACTGTTGATGGTTAATCCTAAAAGGCAGAAGCTAGCCAACATTTCAGTATATTCATTGTCACTTCTAAGGCTGGTTGTTCTACCTGTTGTCTACCTGTTGTCATTAGGTTGGTCTTCTTTATATTTAATTTTAGTCCCATTTTTTTTCACTTTACTTTTATTATTAAAGCTTGTAGATCCTTTGCATTTTCAACTATCAACTATTTTTTATACCAATTCAAAAACGTAGTCCAGAAAGCAAGCTTGTAAATATTTTTAACAAACTGCCATTTTTGGTGTTAGCTCTTATTCTTTGGGAAGATAAAATATTTGATGTTTAGATCACCATCATCAAAATCCTTGGCTATACAAACCCAAAAGCCTAATTTAAAACATATAGAACAGATGATGAAATCTCTGATTAACATAGAATAAAACTTTAAAATTGGCAAAGGATTAAAAAGTAATAATTGAAGATCAACTGAAAGACACATTTTTAAATGCTTTCTTAAAGGCCAATGTAAATGGCAGTCCCCATATTATAAACATAGGAAGACTGAGAATATACTTTCATTAAAGGTAGAAATACTAATATTTTTTTAGGAAAGTTGTATCACACATGGAAACAGTTGGATACATTAAGCTTGAATGTGATTTGCTTATTTTTTGATCTGGCTTATTAATGAAGCCATGGCTTATAACTTGAAATTTAGGCTGTTACAGTTTATTCAATAATCCATTATTAAGCAACCATGGCTTAGCATGCTGCATAAACTTAAAATGGTGTTAGTACATATATAGCTTTATTGTCATACGAATTACAAGTATTTTATACACACATTATTCCTTATATCTCTGAGTTGCATTGTTAATATTTTGAGTATAGGTACACTATTTATTAAATAAATAGCATATTCACACAACTCTAAAAACTCTTTGCAGTTTTGCCTATTCAGTAAAAACCGGAACTTATCACAAATTGCTTTTCAGCATAAACAGTTTAATATTTTCCTTGTCAAGGTGTCTTAAAACCATATTATATGTTTTTAAACGTTTGGAAACCTTTTTTAAAATTAAATTTCAAAGAATAACATTTTACATGTACCAGAATTATTTTATAAATTAAAAAAGTAACTGGATAATGAATCTAAAATAATCAAGTTTGATTGCATGGGTATATGTTTTTGTTTCTGCTGCCATTTTTCCAATCATCCTAGAATGACATCCTTATACCTGAAGAGATTACTGGATCAGGCCAGAAGGAAAGAAGTGAACTACATAACTCGGTATATTGCCAGCTTAACGGTGCAGCCAGAGAAAAACACAGCAATAACTCAGACTTGGCTAAAAGCAGTACATGCCAAGAAAGACTCTTGCAGTCGAGCATTCTGTATAAAAGTCATTGAAGAGAAAAGAAAGAAAAAAAGACAGTCCAATGCCAGAGAAACAATTGAAAGCGTTGGGAGGAGAATCCCATACAACATTATACGACTAATTGATGAGAACGGCACAGACAAGGGGGAAATGCATAGGGGAAATGTACTTCGTATCATGGATGAAAGAGGGATGAATCTTATCCTGCTGTCGGACAAAACAGATCCGCCCAAGTACCAACTAATGACAGGAAAACAGATTTATGAAGAACGTCTCAAAACTAGAGATGAGAAAGCTAGCTCCAAAACAGGTATGCATGGCTCCTGTGAAAGATACTGGCAATTTAGATGTCACTCTAAGCCCCAGTTTGTTTGAACTATGGCTAATTAAGCCATGGCAGCCTGGTTCACATAATAAATTAAGCCGGGGTGGGCAGAGCTTTGTGGGTAGGGTCATACTTTATTTGGTTTCCACACAGGATGTGGGGATGTCCTCATCAAATGGGACAGGACTGATTTTTTTTTTCTTTTTAACTGATGTGAGCTATATCCTATTTACAGACTGAAAGGAACTAGTTTGGAATAGAATGGTTTAATGTACATTGCAGACTCTTGATCACATTTTAACAGGGTCTGTTCAAGAGAAAAGGATTAAAATGTCCACAGTTACTGAGCAGCACGATTTCAGTACAAAAATAAAACAAATTCAAGAATGGATCGACAAGAAGTACCATGTGAAAATTGTGCTGTATCAAAAACCTATTTCTGATGGACCAGAAAAGATGGTAAGTTTATTGGAAGATTTTGAGATATGTCTTATATTGCTCTATAATATCACTTGGTTCCAGTCAGATGGCAAAGACCAGTTTAGTGTGCCTTACAGGGATAGGTAATCTATGACTCTACATGTTGCCAAACCACAACATGCAGAGCATGTTTCACCTCCCAGCATAGTTCACTATTGCAGTGGAGGCTGGGGCTGTGTGTAATCCAGCATCATCAAAGGGAGCTTTAGGCTGTCAACCTCAAGATTAAGATTGCAGGGAAGTAGCTTCATCTAGGCCAAGGCAGTAAGAACTGACCTGCTTCGTTTGCACTGCCTACTACTGCACTTGTCAATGAAATAGTATCCTGTCCCATTCATTGCTATGCAGCTGAAATTATAACATTACTTGAAGGAAGCAATATTAAAGCTAGGGAGAATACATATTAACTTGAAATTGATACACTCTTGGATATTTGGCTTAGGAACTGGAACAGAGAGTGTGAAGTTAGGGGCAGTAACAGCAGTAAACTTTCAGAAAGATAGGAATATAACCTTCATTCTCAGGGTTTTGGGCTGCACAAATACATATGCCTCATGAAGACCTCACGTAAACCAGTGTTTAAACTGTTTGCCAGTTTCAATATCTGTTATGCTTTTTATTAGTATAAAAATACAGTGACAGGTTGCATTTAGTGACATCCTTTAACTGATGCAAAACAGATTCAAACTATTCATTAAGCCAAACTCTCTTATTTTCAGTTAACATTTTTTGATCAGATTTTGGATACGATGCGTGAGAAAGCCACTTATCACTCCATGCCCTCTGTTACTGGAGAAGGAAGGAGTACCTGTGTGCTGAGACAATTATCAAAGAAAGAAATCCAGAAATTAAAACTTGCGGAGAAAAATAAAGACACTCAGAAAGAGAATGGAAGCAACATTACTGACTCAGATGTTACCAAGCAGTGATTTTTTTCTCTCCTAAAGATGCAGTGGGAAAAGAATGTGATGTGATTTTGGTGCATTGATCTTCAGCCTTCTCTACCAATTCCATAAACTTGCCAGAGACCACCTTCTCAAAGCCATTTCTTATGAGCATCTCTCATGATGATTGTTAGGTTAGGCTCATCTAAAGTTGTCGTCAAGCAACGGCATTTCAGCCGTCGGCAGCCTGCTGCTTGCTGCTTGTTGCAGATGAAGGCAGAGATTCTTCTGCTGAAGATATGTTTCTTCGCTGTGCTTTCGGAGGGATGTATCCACTGAGGCGAGAGGCCAGGCTCCGCTTTGGCCGTGGTTTCTTAGGAAGCAAGATCCAAAAAAAAAGAACAGTAATGGAGTATCCCTTTTGTCATTAAAAACTGAGACAGTTAATAGAAATGTCTGTGATCAGTAGTCTTGCCAAATGGATTTTGGAATATCACAGCAGAGTTAAGGGACCCTTAGATCCATTTGGGGGGAGGAAGAAGGAGAGGCTAAGGAAAGCGAGAAGGTGCAACCCTAGAAGCAGCAGCAATACTGAGCAATGTACAAGATCATATCTTTCTCTAGTCAATCTCATATGGCTGGTGTGCAAAAGACCCTACATTTGGTGCCCTCAAGATATCCTGGAATAACAATGGTGAAAAGTCCCAGACAGTGTGACTATATTCATAGCATACTAAGAGCAACATTGTTCTGGTGGTCTGGGAAGGCTGCTATCTATGAGTATTTTAACGACAGATTCTTATATCAAGTTAGCCCACTCCCCCCCCGGGTTCCATCCATCCCAGCACACCATTTACTGCATCCAGACTGCATGAGGAGGGGGTCTCAGAGTTTTTCTTGGACTATATGGGTACAAGGTGGGACCCTTAAGCCTTACAGAGGATTAAGGCATCCAGTGTATTCCTTAAAGCTCTGAAAATTTTCCAAAATCAGGGCTATTTTCCCAACTGGAAAATAGGGGTCAAAAT